AGGTCACTAACTTAACTATACTTCATCCTGTAACAGTTCAACAGCTTTTCTATGTTGTATTTGATAAACCTCCCACAAGAATCACTAAATCTACTTGTTTCAACAGAAATACCAAGTTTGACCAGCACATGTGCATGCAAACCAACGATGCCAGCTGTTGAAATATTGTAGCACTGCTTTTTGAACACCCCATCAGGAAGACACTGCTGGGTGCAGATACCATACAGTGCACAGATTAGTCTTGATGACTTGCTGTGGGAATAGCAATTGTCTGAAGAAATCCAAATACTCTTATACTGAAGGTCAGAAGAAACACAAAGTTTACCTCATTGGCTAATATGTTCCACAAAAGTCCACTGTAGTAAGAGGTTTGTGTATCTGAAGGCCAGCAAACAGCTGTAAGAGTTCAAGCTTAAAGTTTGTCACAGCTCCTCACTGCACAGAGTTGGTGTGTTCATCTGCAAAGTCTGGTAAGAGAGGGATACAACTACATTCCCCTTCTGTACATCTGGAGCATGGAACTCATGGCATAGACAGCTCAGTATTTTGGAAGAATTAATGCTGTGTTCATGCAAATACTGTCCCTTCATGTAAGTAACACAACTAATATGTTGATCAGCTGTGGGTTGCAAAAGAAGGGTTTTTTTCTAAGCACTAGGTTCCACGTTTTTGTCTACAGCAACAGACAAAAACTGAACACGTGCTGGAGCAGATTGAATGCATTCATTTTTATTATTTTCGAAACAGCATTTGAATCTATTTCTCAATTTACTCTATACTTACTGTTAATCACATCACGTTCCACTACTACATTTTCTAGTTTTAGAGACGCGTGGTTTGGGCCAACATGCCTGTGGCAAGGAGTTCAGCATCAGATGCACTGTCCTAGGAACAATCTATGCTGTCACTGTTTGTTACCCAGTGCAGCACTCTTACTTCAGCAAGAAGTCCTGCTCCTACCCCTTTACTCAAACATGTTCTTGTAAGGTTTCATTTCTTGCTCACCTTTAGCTCAGAGCTTCCCACATTAAAGGTATTCTCCTGTCCAGTAATCTTACTGCTGCTTTCTTCCATGGTATTTCCTACACTGTCCCAAGCCATGCAAATATGAGAATGTCCTAGAGTAAGAAGCTTTCACAGCTATGTATGTGCAAGGCTACCAACTTCTCTCTGCATGCTCCCTATTGAATTAAGATGGAATTTCACCACAGAGAAGGCATCAGAAGCTGCAGCTGCATGATACATCCTGGGGTACAGAGCATGAGTGAGGCACCATGAGGACACTGAGTGTACAGCAGGTCCCCAACATCTCCAGCAGAGAAAGTCCCAGGTAGTGTTGTTCAAACCAATCAGATTAAGCCACCCTGCAGCATTCAACATCAGGTAAAAACAAAGTATTGCTATATATAACTTCTAACAAAAACTGCACTTAACAGAGGTATTCAGCAACTCAAGGTTTTGTTTTCATTCAAACGGAGGCTACAGGCTCTAATTTTGACAGACTGATGGAAGAGATGTTGCACTGAACTCAACACCTTGGCAGCTTCCCACACAGAAACTGCACAGCTATGAAGCACTGCAATGCACTCACCTTAACCATGGAGCACTGCTGCTTCCAAACCTTTAATGAAGCAAAAAAAGGTGCCTGAAGGAACAGAACTGAAACCCAAGTAACAGCTTACCTTGTGCAGCAAGAAAACCGAGTGGTGGTACTTCCTCCAAGAGCAACCTAAACTAGAAGAAAACAAAGCAAAGTAGTAATAACCGTCATATATGGTCAAATAACCAAAGATTCCTAAAGCCAAAGCTATCTTTCAGCAATCAGTTTAATAGCTGTAATAAGCTTGATTTTCATGTGTATTTATCCAGTTCTAATCAGAATCAGAATTTAGTTCATTTCTGAGTCACTCAGCAGTTGAACAGCAAAATTCTTCACATGGAACTGCAGAATGAGCAGGACTCCACAGACTCCTCACTATGCCTTACTAAGGAAGAACCTCACTCCTACATCCAAGAGGAGTCTTTCAAGCCAGAGTATTTCTCAGGTAGATCCCCAAGAGAGTTACGTTTAGCCATTAATTTTGGACCAATATTAGATGTAGTCTTCAAATACTGAAGATGAATTTTTGTAGTCCTAGTGCTACAAAGTTGCAACTGGGAAACTTGCTTTACAAAGGTTTGGGGCCTTAATTCAAGGATGTAAATAACACAGCTTGACTTGCTCTCTAGTACTAAGCACCTACTGCAAATCTCCTCAGACTGTCAATTACATTTTGAAGGATATTAAACCAGCAGATAAATCCTTTTCCTGATAACATCATTGTTCAGCACAGACTACTTTTACCT